CACCTGCAAGGCACAATAACATTGAAAGGACAGATGAAGGCAGGGTAAAAAGAGCAAATATACATACATATGTACCATCTTCACTCTCATTCTCTGTGAATTCATCATCGCTGAAATCATAAGCCTTGGGTTTAATGTTCAGCCATTTCGTCATCGCGAGGGAAGGCCGAAATACCTGCACGAAATTAAAATCACCCATTAACCCACAATTTCTTGAAACCCCATTGATCCCAAGATCATAGAGCAAGTGATAGTGAAAACCCATCTCAGAGAGGTTCCCTCTCTTGGCCCTCATTGCTTGAAACTAGAAAGGTTCGGAAGTAATAGGAGGAAGAAGTGGAAGTACGGCGCCAGATTGATGAATTCCCCGTCGCCGACGAAGACATCTATGAAGGTATTGCCGAGTGGATTGACGTAGAAATGAAACGGGGAAAGGTCTTCGGTCATATTCCTCAGGCTTCGGCCGGTAATCACCTCATCGAACAGTTTCAAGGCGTCGTATCCATCCCCCTCTCACTAATTCACAGTGGATTGCATTTAGCAGCAGCCGCAGGCGAGGCGGCAGAGAAATAATTCGAGACTGCCTCTGTCGCCACCCCACAAATACCCACCACCGTAATTAGCAATCCTTTCCGGAGACAGCCTCTGGCGGATTTCAAACCTCCCAGCGGAAGAGGGCGGCATTTGCCAACCGCCGACTAGTGGTGATCAGCGGAGGAAATTCACGGTGGGGTGCAGGCCAAGTGTTAATTATTTTTATTTTTTTTATTTTTAATTAACATGTTATTAAGTTAATGGTCCAATCATCAATTTCGTTTGCCACGTCTTCAATTAACTGACAGAGTTAACGGAGACTAACAGTCGGTGCTAACGGTGAAACGGTTCGTTAAGTTAGTGGCAAATAAAAAAGAAAAGTAATTTGGGTGGCAAATGTGAAAGATTTATGTAATTTGAGTGACCAAACGTGTAATTTATTCCTAAAAGACCCTTTCATTGTTTTCAGTTAGTTGTACTGGTTTTGATTTTTGTGTTTGATTCCGGCAGGTATGGATGGCAATTTCGACCTAACCTGTTTTACCCGATCTGTTTGACCTGTTTTGGGGCGGGTACGACCCGCCATGTAAGCGGGACGAGGCGGGCATGAGTACCTCTCATCCACCCAACCTGCCCTGACGCGCCCCATTCGCGACCCGTTCTCCCCTAAATTACATGTAATCTTAGTCAAATTATTTAATACTTTCCTCTTAATACCTCAAATTTTAGTTATACTAAAGTTGTAAATAAGTGAAAACTTCAATTTCTCTAATAATTTAACTACATTTTATCATATTATGGTTTCTTTCTTAGTCTTTTAATGAAAATAACGAATATTTCTAATGTTTTTCACATAAATTATATACCCATTGGGTCGACCTGCCCCGACCCGCGTCCCATAATAAATTACTCGACTTGGGCCCGACCTGTCGCTGGGCGGGTATGGGTATCGAGATACCCGGCCCGAACCTGCCCCATTGCCATTCCTACCGGCAGGGGCAAAGTAAATGTAACTGGTAATTCCTCAGTAATGCAATGGATTTTTTGTATAAAAAAACTGGCATTGAAGATGATCTAGTTGTAGGGTTGCCTCTAGGTTAAAGAGTCTCTCTCAACAATTGATTGGGGCGTATTGGGAATTTCCAACAAAAAAAAGTACTTACTGGGTGTGACAAGCAGTGGCGGATCAAGGGGGCCGACCCCGGGTTTGCGGCCCAGCCTCCTCTAGATCAAAGATGGTATAACACTTGTAAATTTATTATTTTTTATTTTCGATATTCGTGTAAGTGTTCATCAAGTTATGGCCCAACCCACTCTGCCTCTTTTTAAAATGTGACCCAGTACTGGATACGCTGCAGGCGCCGCTGGCGACAAGTTCCTTCGTGGACATGAGAGGCCTTACCACATTTTGATTTCTTGCAGCCAATCAAGAAATGGGCTACCATTTTTTGATGGGCTCTCTATAATGGGAGCAGATCAGGTCAGTAACTGATGGATCAGTAACCCCTTCTCCTGTCCCCACGTGTCAGTTCCCTTTTTTTATTTAAATTAAATGCGAAAGGGCAGTGAGGTAAAATTGCACTTACCCCTATTTATTGTTGACGCTATCTTTTGACCGGACCACATCAGCGTCTCCTTCTCTTTCATCGAAAAACATTTAATTTTCCTTCACTTAATCTTTAACGGGCGATTTCTCACTCGTTTTAATTCGGAATTTTTTTTTTTTTGCACAGTTAGATCAAATTAATTATGCTCTTCAAAATGATATCCACTTTGATATTTTTTTTATACAAAAAAATTTTCCAGTTATTACCAGTCTATATGGTATGAAAAAAATTGTCACATCAATATATATTTCGTTACCACCCAATAACATATGGTATAGTGTGGTAATATCAATATATATTTCATTACAACCCAACAGTGCAGTCAAAATCGTGCATTAAAATATAAAAACTTACGTTTTTACGTATCCAGGCCACCAAAACGTTTCAGTTTCTACCTAAAGTCGCTTAGTCAAAAAAACTGGTAAAAATATGGGTAAAATCGGTAAAATCGCGATTCTGAAACATTTTTATACGATTTTGATCATCTCATAAAAATGTGCTAATTGGCCCAAAATGATGTAATTTTGGAGACATATCAGCACAAAATGAAAAAGGAAAACATGATTCATCACGAGAAATTTTACAATGCTATATACTATTGGTGCTATAGGTTTTTGCTTTTATGGTATAACTTAAAATTGTACATTTACGTTATGGTACAACTTTAGATTGTACCTATACTTTTTGTACAAATTCTTTTATGGTACAACTTGAACTTGTACCTTTATGTGATGGTACAATTTCAAGTTGTAAAGTTGTATTATAACATAATGGTACAAATTGCTTTATGGTACAACCTAAACTTATACATTTAATGTTATGGTACAACTTTGAGTTGTACATTAAAGCACCAATGCTATATAGCATAGTAGAAGTGCTCGATTCATCACTCGTTCTACAACTAGTGTCGAGATAGGGGCTTCACATTAGGTTGAAAATACACCTAATGGTATTCTCAACAGCCGTTGGCCTTCAATCAGTCTTCTCCCTTAATCTTCACATGTGGCTCTTACCTGGGTTACAATAAAAGTTTATGGGTAATTGATCGTATGTAATTATGTAAACTCAAACTAGTTTATGAGAATTTGGATTCTCGAGCTCGTTTACGGGTTACGATCTACATTTATGAGCTTATTGTTAAGATATTATGAGTTTTCTCTACCTTTGAGTCAACACAAATTAGTTTATGTGTTAGATATTACGTTTTAATTATGAATTTCATGTAGTTATTCACTTATCAAAAATCTACACACTCACATTTTACATACTATATGTTGTACTTAACATATTTTAGCTATTTTAGAGGGTGCGTCAAAAACTTACGCTTTTTTACGCTTTGATTCTACGTTTTACAATTTTACCCGTTTTTCGCTTCTAGGTAGAATCACGCTTTTAACTGCATTGTCACCCAATACCATATGGTATAGTGTGGTAATATCAATATTTATTTCGTTACCACATAATACCATATGGTATAGTGTGGTAATATCACACAATACCATACAATACCATATGGTATAGTGCGGTAATATCAATATATATTTCGTTACCACACAATACTATATGGTATAGTGTGGTAATATCAATATATATTTCGTTACCACACAATAACGTATGATATAGTATGTTAATATCAATATATATTACCTAAAAGAAAAAAAAACTGAAGGAAGGAGAGGGAAAAAACTCGTCTTCTATCTCGTCTCATTTCCTCAGCAATCAAGAACACCAAACGCCAAAAAAAGAAGAAATACCAAAATTGAGGCCAGCGAGTTGATGAAGAGAATAAAACAAAAAAGAAGAGAAGGAAGCAAATCTAGATATGGAGAAGGAGATTAGGAGAGAGAAAAGGAAAAGAGAAAGAAAAAGAATTTGAAAAGAAGATTGAGAGAGAGAAAAATAAGAGAGAAAGGAGAGTTGCAGAAAAATTATTCTCTCTCCTCATTTGAAAAGACAACCATTAAAAGTGATCTCCTTTTTAGAAAAGACAGTCATTAAAATCGAAATATAATAAAAATTAAAATTAAAATTTATTAACGAACAAAATGCCCTTCTGGACCCCGCATTCAGCCCAGCCGTACGATGGATCCGCCCCCTAGATCTACGGTGTGCGTGCAGTTACTAATAGGTCAGTAACCAGTGGTTACTGACTCTATCCCATGCCCTCTATAATATTGGTAAACATACCCTTGGAGTCTTGGACTCGAGAGTGGCCATTAGGGATGTCAATCTAACCCGTAACCATGGGTACCCTACCCGATCGTAACCGGTCAACGAGGGTAATTACCCGATTTGACGGGTTAAAGGGCGGGTACGGGTAATACCGGTTTCAAAATAAAGGGTAGGGTATGGGTATGGTAATAGACCCGCCCCGTTATACCCGCCCCGCTAACCAAAGGGTCAATTTCCCTTGGGAAATTTAGATTAGATTGAGAAATTGAGTTTAGCTACCATTATTGATGATGAAGATGTAGACGATTATTATGTTTGTGTGGATTGTAGAAGCAAGAACAATTATTATGTCTTTGCTATTTTTATTTGTGTGGATTGTTGAAGCTAGAACAGTTACAAGTATTGAGAATTTTTAATGGACAACAGTATGTACGTGCATATATGTGTATAAGTTCATAGTTTAGGATTCGTACCCATGGTTACCCGAATGCCCGTGGTTACCTGATGGGTAAGGTATGGTTATATAATTTTTATACCCGATAGTTATTTAGTCGGGTATTTTAAAAGGCTCTACCTGGCGGGTTAGGAGTTGGTAGAGGGTAAACCCGCACCCGATCCTACCCATTGCCATCCCTAATGGCCATGCTCTTGTTTGTTCATCAACCAACCAACCCAAGTACCCAACCAGCTAGCTAACTGATTTGGATAAGGAAAAGCTCTTACTCGTGTTTCTCGGAGCCCGTGGTTAGTTCAATTTCAGATTGCACGGCGATTAGTTTTGGTTCAATTCAATCTACTACTTGCTAATAATCAAATCTTGTTTTATAAACCAGATGCGATTTGGCCGTGCTCCTACGTGTATCCAATTATCCATCCAGATTCTGGGCAATATCCTACAACAACATGGAGTTTTATTTCATTCTTCGTCAGCATCAACCAAAACTCAATATCTTCTTTCTCTCTTCGGATAAACTTCCTAAACCAAGAAAATCCTTACTATTTCTGTCCCTGCTGCAAATCCAAAACGTCCTCGTTCTTATCCGAAATTTCAAATCCCACAATGAGCAGGTCGAGCGTTATTAATTCTTCCCATAATAGCTTCTCAGAACCCCGATTCTCTCTGCTGCTTCCCAATCTCCTCTCTTCCTCCGTTTTCGCCAGAGTGTTTCTATATTCACCCCGACCAGGATCGCTCTCAGATTATCTCCGAGCTCTGATTCAATGGCGGCCCTTCCTCCCGGCTCCCTTTTCCTCGGATTCGACTCCTCCACCCAGTAAGTTCCTTTTCTTCTCTTCTTCAATTCCTGAACTCACTGATTAATGGGCTCCTTGATTACTGCCTAAAGTTTGAATCTTTAAGCTCAATTTTACTCCATCGATGAAAAATGGCTGATCGGGTAAATTCTGATGAAAAGGTCGTTGAAGGCGACGGTACTGGACTGCAATCTTAATGTGATTCAATTGGATCAAATCCATTTCGATTCCGATTTGCCCCATTACAAGACCAAAGATGGCGTCTACAGAGACCCGTCCGACAGCGGCAGAATCGTTTCCCCTACGCTAATGTGGATCGAAGCTCTCGATCTCGTCCTCCAACGCCTCTCCAAATCCGGTTTGGATTTCGGGAAAGTTGCTGCTCTCTCCGGCAGCGGACAGCAACACGGCAGCGTTTACTGGAAGAACGGCAGCTCTTCGCTGCTCTCCTCGCTGGACTCTAACAAGCCGTTGTTGGATCAATTCCGCAATGCGTTTTCAATCAGTGAATCGCCTATATGGATGGACAGCAGCACCACGGCTCAATGTAGGGAAATTGAGCAAGCTGTTGGTGGAGCGATTGAGCTGGCTCGGATCACTGGGTCTCGTGGGTATGAGAGGTTCACTGGACCTCAGATCAAGAAGATATTTCAGAAGCAACCTGATGTTTATAACAGCACTGAGAGGATTTCACTTGTTAGCTCGTTCATGGCTTCTATTTTTGCTGGGAAGTATGCTTCCATTGATCATGCTGATGGTGCTGGGATGAATTTGATGGATATTGAGAAAAAGACCTGGTCTAAAGTGGCTTTGGAGGTTTGGATTTTTCCTTGCTTTTGTAACAAGTTATCTGCTTTCGTTGTGGGTTGATTGCATTTTTGTTGAAAGTGCGTTGTTGAATGTTCACAGGCAACTGCGCCGGGTTTAGAGGAAAAGCTCGGGGCTTTGGCTCCTGCTTATGCTGTTGTTGGTCCTATTGCTTCTTATTTCGTCGAGAGGTTGGTGTAGGATTTGTGGTTTTTTATTATCTGTTGATCACTACTGCATTAGCTACATTGTGCAACTGATGGTTGGACTCGAAAAGGAATGGTCTGGCATTTCAAGATAACTGAATGGGCAGCATCTCTGTTTCTAATTGAAGTTTGTTTAATGGTGTTCGTGTGGTTTGTTGCAAAATTAGTGAGCATTGTCCTCTTCCATGCACAGGTATAAGTTCAGTAAGGATTGTTTGGTTGTGCACTGGTCTGGAGACAACCCTAACAGTTTAGCTGGTGAGTCCTTGTCTTTGATCATAGTGGATGGAACAGTTGGCATTGCCTGGTTAATGATCTAGAACAGTTTGCACATTCGAATACTCACAGATTGAGCTGCATTTGTTATCAGATTCTGAAATCTGATTTTAGTCTGTGAATCATTTCTTGTACTCTTTCCATTTTCCATCTGTCTAATATAACTGATGGTATCTCTAACTTGTGCAGGTTTAACCTTGAGTGTTCCTGGGGATCTGGGTATTAGTCTTGGCACCAGCGACACTGTGAGTTCAAAAGCAAATACACTCTCATACAGTTGCCCATTTGTTTGACACACACTTGTGCTGATATGTAGCATTAAATGGAATTGGACATTGCAGGTTATCGGTATATCCAGTGATCCTAAACCTGGGTTGGAAGGTCACGTCTTCCCTAATCCAGTAGATACGAAAGGCTACATGGTAATGTTATGCTACAAAAATGGGTCTCTAACTCGTGAAGGTATGCACTAATGTAACTTGGTATGTATTCAACGTATACCACCATCTAATCCCTCCACTAAGTTGAACTGGTCTTCGATTTAGAGGTGCGCAACAGTTGTGCACAGAGCTCTTGGGAGACCTTCAACAAACTCTTGGAGCAAACACCGCCTCTTAATGGTTTGTACATGCTCTATGTACGACTTTTCTTCTTAGTCTTCTTTTACATTTCCTGACCAATTCTTCTCCTGGAAAACAAACAACAGGTGGGAAGTTGGGTTTCTACTACAAGGACCATGAAATTCTTCCTCCACTTCCAAGTGAGTCCTTATTAGTGATATCTTCCCCCCTCTGCGTCTCAGCTGCAGCATACTTTCTCTGAAAAATTGCTGCTTCACACATTCTTATCATCAATCTCCTTTAAATTGATGAAAAACATTTGTTGCAGTTGGTTTCCATCGCTACATTCTCCAAAATTTCAATGGTGCCTCCCTGGAAGGGGTGAGTGAACAGGAAGTGAAAGAATTTGATCCTCCTTCAGAGGTTAGTGGCCCTTCCTGAATCCCGGTCCGGCATGTTTCTTTTACACCGTCTTAACTCGAACTTACATCCTCTTTTGTTCAAAACAACTCTGAATTTCAGGTGAGAGCAATAGTGGAGGGCCAGTTCCTGTCGATGAGAGGCCATGCTGAGAGGTTTGGGATGCCAGTACCTCCAAAGCGTATAATCGCTACAGGTGGAGCATCAACAAACCAAAGCCTGCTGAAGTCGATAGCATCGGTATTTGGCTGTGGAGTCTACACTGTCCAAAGACCTGGTATGCAATTTTTAATCTGCGCATTTAATTACATTCTTCAAGCACAAGCAGCTGCCATTGAATGGGGAGAGAGGTTTAGAGATGTAACTAGTTTTTCTGCATGGTTACAGATTCTGCGTCTCTAGGAGCTGCATTGAGAGCTGCGCATGGCTGGATCTGCAACAAGAATGGTAGTTTTGTGCCGATAGCAAACTTGTACAGCGACAAGTTGGAGAAATCGTCACTGAGCTGCAAGCTGTCGGCTAGCGCTGGGAGTGACGAGGTGGCATCGAAGTATGGCGTGATGATGAAGAAGAGAATGGAGATCGAGAAGCGGCTGGTCGAGAAGTTGGGACGCCACTGATTCCTGGGCTTAAAATCAGATGATGTCCTTCCTACGTTTAGTGCTTAGGTTGTAACTATTTGTTTTTCCCGTGCCACTACGGAATTTTGAGCAGCACATTCTAAGACATGTCGATGTCTTGGCGGATGAAAATAATAAATGGCAACATACTCTCTTTTGTTGGTAAACTCGACTTTTATTCTATTTTCTTTGGGAGCGGATACTATAACAACACTCAACACCCTTAGTGTTGTTATAGTAACAACAACATTCATTAAGGGTAAAAGGGTAAATTACATATAAATAATAATAAAATAATTTTAATTAAAATTCACAGCCCTACCCTCTAAACCCGCCGCCAGAGCGTCTCTTACGCTGTCCTCCAATTCCCTGCCGGCGCCGCCCCTCCCCACATCCACCCTCACGCCACCGAGCTCCGACGATCTCCCCCGCCGTCTTCAAGACTTGGATTCCATCATCCGGTTAGAAATCGTTGAGGTCATAGCCATGTCATCTTAGATCTAAACTTTAAGAGTGGAGCCGCAATGTGTGGAGGCGATGATTGAGGCAGCCCCGACGCTGGAAACTTAGATCTCATTCCCGCCTTCGCTTATCTCCTAGCCATGGTCGTCTCTCCAAATCACTCAATGGAGGGAATCCGCTCTGTCGTCGAGGAACCTGCTCTTTGTCATATGGTTGTGGAACAGCTCTCACAGAAACGGCGGTGTCGAGAAATGCCATGAGCTGTCCGAAGCTTTTTCCCAGTATAATACGCCATGAGACTGCCCAAATTAGATAAGTTAGACTCTCTATCGATTGGGCTTTTCTTGTTCTATCTTTTATTCAGCTTCAATCAAATCAATTTTTTTTTGTCACAGGCTCTAATTTCTAGCCCCAACTCCCTCCTCTCATCTCCAAAACTCATTTGCTGGGCAAGTCGCCCGCTCTAAATTAAATTTTTGGATCTTTATCCATCCAGATACGTACTCTAGTTCCATGGATTCAAGTGGCGTTTCTTTATTGTTTGTGGTGTTGCTCCACTTTAATAGATGCAAAGTGGTAGAGATGGCTGAGGCTTATATGGTGCCTTCTCAAGTTGGTCTCTGGTGCCAGAGACAAGTCAATAACGCCTGAGATGGTTGAGGCTTATTTGGTACCATTTCTAGTATGCATGATTTGCATTGTATAGTGTGAGAAAATAAACAAAAAATTCTAGAAACAATTATAAAGCACACCGAAAATCTTCTAATACAAATCACTAATCTCTTAAAGCATAAACCTTCTAATACAAATCACTAATCTCTTAAAGCATACCAGAAACATAATAAAAGTGGACTATAAATATTCTCGAAGCACACTAAAAACGTAATAATGCATATCAGAAATCTCCTAAAACATACCAGAAACCTAATAATGTAAACCACAAACACGGTAAAGCAAACCACAAGTCTTTTATAAGCACACTAGAAACCTCCTAATGCAGACCACAAACGTGATAAAAAAACCACAAAAAAAAACAAACCAGAAACCTCCTAATGCATACCACAAATCCCCTAAAACAAACCACAAACCTCACAAAGCAAACCACAACATTTGCGAAAGCACACCAGAAACCTCCTAATGCAAACCACAAACACGGTAAAACAAACCACAAAAGCAAACCAGAAACGTTCTAATGCAAACCACAAATATATTAAAACAAACCAGAAACCTCACAATGCAAACCACAAATTTTTTGAAAGCAAACCACAAACCTCACAAAGCAAACCACAACATTTGCGAAAGCACACCAGAAACCTCCTAATGCAAACCACAAACACGGTAAAACAAACCACAAAAGCAAACCAGAAACGTTCTAATGCAAACCACAAATATATTAAAACAAACCAGAAACCTCACAATGCAAACCACAAATTTTTTGAAAGCAAACCAGAAACTTCTCAATGCAAACCACAAACACGATAAAGCAAACCAGAAACTTCTTAATGCAAACCACAAACACGATAAAGCAAACCACAAAAGGCTTACAAAAATATGAGAAACCAAACCATAAATCTCACAATGCAGACCACAACATCCGGTGGTCGTTGGCCGTTGACCGGTCAACGAAGACCATTGACCGGTCAACGAAACCCGTTGACCGAACTCCGGTGACCGTCAGTGACCGGATTCCGGCGCCGATAAGCATATTCCGGCCCCGATGACTAGATTCCGATGTCGGTAAGCATATTCCGACGTCGGTAAGCATATTCCGGTGACGGTGAGCATATTCCGATGACAAAATAGCATATTCCGGCGACAAAAAAGTATATTCCGGTGACCGGCGGCCAGATTCCGGCGACCGGTGGCCGAATTCCGGCGACCAAAATTTTGGTCCGAAAATAATTTTTTCAATTTTTTATTATTATTTAAACATATTTTTCATAATGACAATTATACCCCTGCTTTGATTTTACACTAGGTCAACTCATCTAATAAAAAGTCATCATAATCCTAGCTTCCTATTGGTTGGAGGCTAGTGTTGTTACAATAACAACACAAAGGGTGTTGTTATAGTATCTAGTCCCATTTTCTTTTGAGGAATTTTACAATGCTCTTGGTGCTATTTGTTTGTCTTTATGGTACAACTTCAAGTTGTACTTTTAATGTTGTGGTACAATTTCAGATTGTACGTATTCTGTTTTGTACAAATTCTTTTATGGTACAACTTGAACTTGTATCTTTATGTGATGGTACAACTTCAAGTTGTGAAGTTGTACCACAACATAAGGATACAAATTCCTTTATGGTATAATCTAAACTTATACATTTTACGTTATGGAACAACTTTAAGTTGTACATTAAAACATCAATGCTTTATATCATAATAGAAGTGCTCTTTTCTTTTTCCCTTTTTAATAATATATTAATTCATCACCTTCATCAACCATTACAAAAATATAAATTTTCTCGTTGTTTTTACAATATACTCTTGTATGCTGATTTCAACAAATCAAGAGACCTAATACATATGAGAAGTAAAGGGATAAGAGAATTTGTGCTGTGTCTGTAATACTTTCTTTTATAGGCACGATACAAGATCCAATTATTAGTTAGAATTATTGAACCACAAGCAGAAAAAACTTACCAAAAATCGAGATTTACTATTCATCACAAAAATTCTAATTATTAGTTAGAATTATTAAACTACAAGCAAAACAAAATTACCAAAAATCGAGATTTACTATTCATCACAAAAAAATCGCACGCCATTGTTGTCAAAGTGACTTGGTGAATCCATGTGGTCCTATCTACGTGGGCTAATGTGTATCTATCTTTGGACAAGCCATGTAGCCGTTGATGCTAGATTTAGACCAAACGTGGCCGTTGATTCTAGAATTAGTTTGTCAGGACTCAGGAGTGAGGGCTCACAAAAAAAAATGGACCTCATTGATGGCCCCCCATGGAAAAAGAAAACGTTTCTCGATAACCGATACTATCTTTCTTTCACCTCCAAAAATCACTGGCCTCCCAAATCCCAGACCTACTGCCCTTCTCTCCCATTCCTTCCCATCTCATTCTTCGATTCACAACCTCCCATCTCCATAACCTCCGACCAAACGCATGCAGGAGATTGTGGCGACAACAAATTTCCATCGCCAAACCCACTGAACGTACGCCGGTGGGAGACGGTGGCAACAACAGAAGTGGCGGAAGACGGTGGCATCGACAGATACCACATCTCCAAATCCACTGCGCGGGCGCCGACGAATGTCGCTCGATCTTCCCTCTCTCTCACCTCCTTGAACCCGCTTGTTAGAGAGTGGTATAAGATCCAGCAGAACCTTCTTCCAACAACTCGAGTTATTGGGATCAACTGGTTCATGACATGGTATCAGAGCTAAACTCGATCCTTGTCTAGGGTTTTGAGCTTCCGCAGTCATCCTCCGTTGCCTCTCCGGCAACATCGATGTCAATCAGTCCGCAGCCTCCAATCAAGGTCCGACGCTCTCTATAGCTACTTTTATAGTAGCCACCGTCGGTAGTCAACCTGATGTCGGCGTTTCCAGCTTCATCCGCAGCCGTCGTCAGGCAGCTGTCGCTCCATCGTCTTAGTCCCCGAAAGTCAAAGGTTGATTTCAGCTTGTATCATCAACCTTCCATCTACCTTTCGAGAAGCCTTGTTGTCGTCTCGGGCTTGCGGCCGGGTCATCTTCATCAAACAGATCCCCTCGCAGGCCGCGTCATCATCGTCGGTAACAGCAGACCGGGCAACATCAATGTCCCTGGCCGTCCTCTGCCCGGTTATGCCTCTTCATCTCAACGACGTTGCTCGTCACCTGTCGAGGAGAAAATAGTCAAGCGTCCCCCGGCAGGCAATCCATCGTTGGTAAGGCATCCAGGTTAATCTTTTTGTGACTGTGGTGGTGTTCGCACAAGGATCAGCTTTGGGAGACAAATTTGGCAGCGTAAAGTTTATTTGGTTTTGGTGACCCATTCATTCATTGGTTCCATTATTGGCACGTAGTCCCAAGTGCTTTGTCCAGCTTGTTTATTGTGACTAGCGTGGTAGCGTCCTAGCCATCAACACACAGTTCAGGATACTTCCGAGGTTTACAGGCCCACGAGGTGTGCCATGGAATTCATACTCTGTCCACAGTTGGAGTCAAGTTGTCATTATGGCCGGTCAAGGTCACTTAGAGAGGAAAATCTTCACCAACATCGATTAAAGTCATGGCATTGAAGACAATCGCGACCTGCAGTGGTCGTCCCTTCAATTGCTAGTGTTGGGGAGACACAACTTTCATCAATAAAGAAGTTCAAGTTATCAAACGAGGCAGTCACGATCAAAGAAGCGATCGTCCCCTCCGCGTTCAACATCGGTCAATGTTGAGTCATCACCATTCTAACTTTCAAGCTGGGCATTCACATCGTTCATGCGTCAGCTTGAGGGGGAGAATAGGGAGTCAAGTCGTTCAGGAGATGCAGTCAACCATCTCCACCATCGTTCAGGAGATGCAGTCAACCATCTCCACCATATCATATGGATAGACGTAGTCAATCGTCTCCGTCAAGTCATTCAAGAGACGCAGTCAACCGTCTCCGTCAGGTCGTTCAAGAGATGCAATCAACCGTCTCGTCACGACGTTCAAGAAGATGCAGTCAACCATCTTCATCAGGTTGCTCAAGGGAGAGAGTCAGTCGTCTCCAAGTCAGCTTTGTCCGAGATGTTGTTCATCTCGAGTTTTG